AAAAAACTAGGTAATAACAAACCATCGTTTACATACCTGTTTTACAAATTTGCCCGCGTTTATAGTAGAAGACGTTTTGTTTTAAGAGAATTTCTCTTATCATCATAATGTACAAATTATATATTAACCAATTTTCACATTTAAAATTTTACATTTATATTAACCGATTTTCACAATTTTCACAAATTATATATTAACCAATTTTCACATTTTCACATTTCACAGCAATTTAAACTTGTTTTTGTGTGTTAAAAAATTTTTCGGCGAAAAACCATGTACCACCCTCTCCCCACTTGAAACATACTTGCGCTGGCTCTACTTGCAAAGTGTATGCCTCAATATCTCCAGCAACGACAACTAAACTACAAATGAAATACGTACACCCATTCTTAATTGAGAAATCGATGATGTCATGTTCTCATTACTTGTCTATAGTCTACAAATCAACTTGACTCTACAAGTGCTCATGACGAGAGAAGTTTCAGTAGACTAAAGTTTATCAAAAGTTATTTTTAATCAAACAAAGTCTTTTTGGATTGACATTAACTTTAAATAAATGTAAGCTTGCTGAGAGCATTGACTTTAACTGAAAGCGGGCACAGACGTCCGTAAGACGTCTATACAACGCCTTATATGTCACAAGTCCGTATGTTCTTAATGTTTTTAAGACGTCTAACGAAGGTTCTATTTCCGTTGGGAATGAAATCTTGCATATAAAAATTTGTATAAACTGGCAGGAAAGTGAACTTTAATATTAATGTTTGTTTTCAGTAATATGTATAATGTAAATATATTTTTAAATAACCAAATCATTGCAATAGTACTAGTGTTTTAGACGTACTTAATAAATATGAAAAAGCCACATAAAAACATCAATAAAATATTTTAATCACAACTGTGATTCTCGAAAAAAATGTTTCTAGGGGTTAATGTGCTACCCCAACCATTGTTTCCCCATACTTATTCTCCTGCCCCCAGCCCCCCATAATTCTAAACTTCAATCTACTACTGTGCAATACTATCCCTTAATGTATTAAAACGCTTTCATTAAAATTTTTTTTACAATTTAAATACAAAATATTAAAAAGAAAAATTTTGAAAAGATTATTGTCATACAATTATTAATTACTTAGAAAAGAAATAATTACTTAGAAAAGAAATAATATTGAAAAAATTGCTTTAAAAGCGACTTTAACTTACCATCAGACTAAAAAATTAAACTTTAAATATTAATATATAGTTTTATTATTGTCTTAATTTTTAGTGAGAGAGGTTACAATTTATTAAATGTTTCAATAACTTACATTATATATACAATTATATTATATACAATAAATCACAGCAGTCAACTTTTCTAATTACAAACCGTGGTCCATTAATATGGAATCATTTTCAAATAAAAAATATTAAAGACCTAAAAAGCATTTCATCGTTTAAACGGCAAACTAAAATGGAACCCACTAGTATTTATAGCAAACATGTTAAAAAATTGTTTACTATCTATAAACAATTCTATGTAAAAGCTAAGCTAAAATGTTTAGGCTTCTCTTACTGTTTTGCTTTGTAACTTCTTTTTACCATTTTTCTATAACTTTTTAAAGGTACAAGTGAAGAAAAGGTTTGCTACCATTTATATGAAAGGTAATCAGTAGTAAATCAATCATCTTTGAATATATCTTAATTAGCAAAATTTTAAGAGTCATTTTTGTATTTGAAAATATAAAACAGTTTAAAAAAGCCTCTTTGAGCAGCCAACCCTTTAAAACTAAAAAAATAAATAAAAATTTAATTTAACATTTTTTATTTGAACGCAAAACAAATTTTAATTTTTTGCAAAACAAAATGTTTTAATTCGGGTTCATGTTTAAAAAGAGTTTTTTTGTAGTATTTTTTCACCTTATCTTTTTTTTTTTATTATTAGTGTTTGTTTGTCGTCGTCGTTTTTTTTAATATTATAATTTTTTTTCATGAAATTGCTACTTTTCATAAAAAAAAAATTACATGTCGTTTTCCATTTCTAAATTATACTTTTATGTAGTATTTTATATTTGCTACACCTTCTCAACGAGCAAATCATCAGTCTATTCTTTTATCTCGGCATAAATTTCAAAACGATTTTCAACTGTTGCTCCCTGATGAAACCTAGTCAATATTCACTAGAAAAAGGAACCAACATTATCTTTATGCTATTTATTTTGATTTTATATTGCGGTTGGTATATTTGGTGAATGCTATTCGCCCAACGAGAATATACTACCACGAGACAATATACCTGACAGCCTAGATACAGTTGTATGCGAAAGACACGTTCCATCTGAATATCAGTTAATGTTCATTAATGACAGTTAATGATCATTCAGTCAACTGACTTTAAAGAAAACTAAAAACTAATATAAAAGAAGCAGATAACATCATAATTATTGTTGAAATATTTGTGAAGTTCTGGAAAATTGTCAATACAAAAGGACTGTATGCTGATATTTGATAAAGATCCAGATCAGCAATTATATCAACTTCAGAAGATGCTAGACTATCATTTTTACTTAGTCTTGCAACAATGGCATAACAAATAACTAGCAAACTAGGAAGCAGACAATTTCAGTTAACTAGAGATACAGATACAGCCTTAGCTCATGAGTGTCATGGTTTAGTAACCATTACAAAATTTTTGTTGCAGAATTCTTTAAGTATGCAATACTGGGAAAACTTACAACTGACTCAGTAGAAAAAATGTTTGGAAAACTCCGAAAAGAATCTGGAGGCACATATTTTATCAATGTTTTTTTCCACATTGGGAAAAACATTGATAAAACATGTGCCTCCAGATTCTATTCGAAATTTTTTTAAGATTTTGTTTTCAAGATAATATGTGGTCTCACGTCAAATTTTTGTCAAGAAGCACGTCGTGATATTTCAATATGAGTTTTCTTTTTACGTCTTGATTAACAATACAAAGTTACCATTATTGTAAAAAATGTATCGCTTACTATTTAACAAATAGCTTTGAAACCACGCAATCTTTAAATGTTTAATACAACAGCATTCTAATTTTGTTAATAAAATTTTACAATATTTAATAAAAGGAGTTTTATTTATGATCAAAATCATACGGCGATCAATAAATGCACCTGTATATTTATTTTCATCAAATGATTTAAAAATAAAACAAACAAGATAAAAATTGCCTGTTCAGTAGAATGCCTCCTTTTAAGTTGTTAACATATTGAAGTTGTTAATAGTTTTCTATTTTCGTTGCTTTTGTATCTCTTCACTTTTGATCTTCACCTTTCTTTTTGTTCTTTATCGTTCTTTTCTTCTTAAAGCATAACTCTTTTTTATGCTGTTTTTGATTGAATTGACCATGTCATTGGTGACTTTAATACACATCATTATAAATGGTAGGCTCTAATACAACTGACCCTGCCGACAGTAAAGTTCTAAAGTTGCTATTTTTCAATTACTCTATACAACCCTATTTTCTATTTTTCAATTACTCTATACAACCCTAATTATTTACATCCACTCTTGGATTTGTGTCTTTTCTCCGACTCTATCTTTTGTTTAGTTTTCCTTGCTATCCTTTAATTGGTTTAGATCATGCTCCAACTTTACAAAAAATTATTAGATTCACTCTTTCATTCATTTATTCATTTATCATCGCATTAGATTCACGCACATATTTTACTACTAAATGCTGACTAAGATTTAACTTGTGATGTTCTAGTGGTTTTTTGGCTTATTCTTTTTGTATATCTGCTGATAATGATGTACCTTTTTATTTTTCACCAGTGAACGAGCATTGTGTATTTACGTAGACTTCCTACTTTGATTATTGTTAAGTGGTTATTGTTTATCATAATTTTTGATAATGATTAAAAAACTTATATAAGTTAGATTAAGATTTTGGATGAGAAAAAAAGTCCGAATAACGAGTCCGAGTAACGCTGTTAATTTTGTACTTCAAAACATGTCCCACGCAAACGGTTGTTATCAAATTATATAATGACTAGACATAACCGTTTAAGGTTACGTTATTGTTTTAAATTGCAAACTAAAATTTAAAGAAAAAAAAAAAAGAAAAAAAAAAAAAAGAGAAATATGTAGCTAACATGTTGAGTAATATACTTATTGACATTGCGAAAAGCAAGAAAAAGATTATTGATTACGCAAATAAAGTATTAAAGTTTCAATAATTTTTATTCTGAGAAATGGAAAATATTTAATCACAGTGAGAGTTGTAAATGTATACAAATGTGTAGACTTAAAACGATTTTTTATATGCTTTATTTTTTTTTGTGAAGATAAAAGATTTAATATAAATAAAATAAATAAAATAAATAAATAAACAAAATAAAATAAAATAAATAAACAAAATAAAATAAATAAAATAAAATAAATAAAATAAAATAAATAAAATAAATAAAATAAATAAAGTAAATAAAATAAATAAAATAAATAAAATAAATAAAATAAATAAAATAAATAAAATAAATAAAATAAATAAATTAAATAAAATAAATAAAATTAATAAAATAAAACCGTGTCAAAATAAAACTTCTGTCAAAATGTAGCCTGGGACCAAATTTCTAAACTGTAAATTTTTTCACCTTTTTTAATTTTGAAATTATTATTTCAATCAATTTGTATGTATATAACATCTAAATTGCAATTTTTTATAAACTTGAGATTAAAAGTGATTTGATGCCTTGATATATTTTATTTTGTGGCCATTTATATTTCTTTTGAAAGTTTGGTTATTTTTGATTATAAGGAAATAGGAAAATCGTTTTTCTTCTATTAAAACATGTTATCCAGACATATTATGGTGATAAATTTTGCTTTGTTAAAATGTCATTAAAAAGTGTTTAAGATAGCAATAAATATTTATGATAGCAATAAATATTTGTTTAAACATTTATTGACATGTGCTAGCTGTAAGTGTGCTAATAAAGTTCAATGCACACATTAGTTCCGTCACACACACGTTAGTTTGACAGCGCATTCGTAAGCTTGATAGAAACATGGGTTTGTTTAAAAAAAAAATAAAGGAAAACTTGAACGAACCGCATAATTTTAATTTAATTATAGATTCATATTCTGATGACATAAAACAAAATGAGACTTCAAATGATTTTGTTCAACTAACCACCGAAAATTCGTCTCCGAAGCAATCTATTAAAAGTTCTGAGGTATTGTTTAAGAAAAGCCCAACTTCTTCTAAAAAGACTACTAAAAAAGAAAAACCAAAAAAGAAAGGCAGCAAAAAAGTTAAAGTGATAAACGATCGACATGTGGAAAATTTGGATGACAAGCCTTTTGAATTAAATATGAAACACATTAGCTTAGAAAACCTTCCTTTAAGAAGACCAAGTACCGTCAGTATAAATTTATTAACACTTAATGAAAATTTAACCAAAGTTGATTTTGACAAGGAAGATGCCCCTTTAAAGGTATTTAACACCGAGAAAATTAACAACTGCGCGTTAGAAAATTCGGATGAAACAAGTTCCTCAGATGAATTTATTAAAATGCGTGATAGAAAAAAAAATGTTTTGAAAGGTAAACCTGCCTACAAAAGCGTTAAATTTCGTCAGCAAAGACAACGTAATAACAGCATATTATACCAAAAAAATCGTATTGAAAAAGTGTCTGTAGCAAGACAATCAAAGCGAGGAATTAGGCAACAAGCCAGTCGAAGTATAAAGTCAGCTAAAACCCGAACACCAAATAATCGAGCCCAACGCATTATCAGGTAATTGCATTTCATTTTACATCTTTAATTTTTTCATTTAATTGCATTTAATTCAATAATAAATAAATTCATTTAATATATATATACATATATACATAAGCATATATATATATATATATATATATATATATATATATATATATATATATATATATATATATATATATATATATATATATATATATATATATATATATATATATATATATATATATATATATATATAATATATATATATATATATATATATAATATATATATATATATATATATATATATATATATATATATATATATATATATATATATATATATATATATATATAATATATATATATATATATATATTAAATATATAATATATATATGTATATATATATATATAATATATATAAATATTAATGTATACACAGAATAGTAACTAGCAGCCGTGGCGCAGCGGTAGCGCACTTGTTTCAGAAACAAAGGATCCGTAGTTCTAACCCCACCTCTGGGGACATCGGTTAGGAAGGAGGCGTAAACTTCCAATTAAATGCTTATCCGTGGTGCTCTGTGATAAGACGGTAAAGACACTTCTTGGTGCACCTAAAAAGTCAAAAAAAATGTTTGTACAGTATTAAAATAGTATATTTTTTAAAATCAAATTTTTATTTAAGGATGTTTAATTTCTAATACTGTCCTCTAGAGGTAATTTAACCTCCAGAAAAGTCCTTACGGTTTTCTCACAGAGCACCACAGATGAGCATTTAATTAGAAGTTAACGCCTCCTTCCTAACCGTTATCGCAAAACTTGTCCAGAGGTGGGTTTTGAACCACCTGTTTCTGAGGCAAGTGCGCTACCACTGCACCACGGTTACTTTACAGAGTAAACTGTAATCAGTACCATGGCTAGTAGGTCCAAAGCCCCAAAAATGTGTCATTAAGGCAACAAGCTTTTAAAAAACCTTTCATTATTAGATACCACAAAAATAAAAAGTAAATAAAAAAAGAGCCCCCATAAACGTTGCCTTTCCCTTTCCCCATGTGGGCGTACAAGAGATGTGGGCGTACATGTGGGCGTACAAGAGATTAACCACGGCACTAACTGCAGTAGAAGAAAGTTTAATAAAAAAAATAAACAAAATAAAATTGATTTATAAAGTACTTGTCAAGTTAATGTGTAAATAAACGGATGAAATTAAATTTGTTAAATTTATGTGTTATTATTAATTTATTTATGTAATAATAGTCGAACGAAACAATATTTTAAATGATATTTTTTATCATGATAAAGGTTTTAGCAAATGGTTATGTGTTTGCAGTGGAAAAAAATTTCTTTATTATCCACTGTGGTGTAGTTGATAAAATAACCTCAACATTTCAAATACTGATAATAATTAAAAAATGAACGCCGTGAAGGAGATAAGGTTACGAATAAAAAAACAATCATTCACATCTCTCCGTAAAGAAAAGTTAAAAACTTTATTTAAATTTGTTAATAAAAACTAATACTAAAATACAACATTTGTTTAAAAAATTTTATTTTTAAAGAATTTTTTTATTAATGTAGTTAAAAAGAAATTTTTGATGCTCAAAAGTCAAAAACGGAGAGATGAGAATACAGTCAAAGGTAGTTTTTAAAATGATTGGCTTGAAAAAAAAAGTTGCATATTTAAAATGTTTATAAATAGTGATTGACTTAATTTTCATATTATAACTTATACATTTATAAACATTTATAAAATAGTTCTTAATATATTCTAATTATTTTCTTTTTATCGTCATTAAGATCCAGGGGCAGACGCAGCATATTTTGGTGTTGGAGGCTTTATAAATTTAAACTATTAAACAAATATTCCTTGCGAAAAATTGCAATGATTGGAGCCTGGGATAAAAAAAAGCTTAAAATTTTTAGTCCCCTTTGCTCCAAATGTGAGCGCAACAATTTAATATAATATTTTTATTAAATTTATATTCATCAGTAATTTTTACATTTCATAGAATAATCTCCTAACGTTTAAGAATTATGGCCAACTAAAATTTGTAACCCCTGAGGCGAAAGTTGAAAAGCTTTTTTGTTATCAGGATCCAATTGTCGCAATTTTTTGAAAAACATTTTTATTTGATGTAAGTATAATCATAAAAATGTTAGGAGTTTGCTCCATTTCTGAAACTTAACTACCTTAAAACCAAGAAACTGTATCTGCCCTTGTTAACAATAATTGCAATTGTGGTAGTGCTCTAGAAGTGAATTGTATTCTAGCCAATTTGCAATAACACATTTCAAATGTAAAGCCTTGTTTTATTTTTGTTAAATTTAATTCTTGATAATATATGAAATTTAAAATAAATATTGTTTATACTTTACTACGCAGTCAAATTAAATATTCAAAAAAATTTTAAAAATTTTAATTTATTATAAATATTTTTAGGCCAGTGCCAACTCGGTTTACCCCAATACATAATCAATGGTTAAGCGAAACAAATTTACACAAAGTGCGGAAATCCAGTGTGAGTAGATCTGTACTGAGCTTACCTGATTCTTATGAGCAAGATCATGGTAGAGAATTGCAAATCAACGAAACTGATAAAAAAGAATTTAAAATTACTATAGACGTTCAGTGCTTTTCTACTGATGAAATAATAATTGCTTTAAAAGATGGGCGGCTGATTATAAATGCAAAACACTTTTTTAAAACAGAATTCGGTTTTGAATTTTACCAGATGCATCGATCCTATCCCTTACCAAGAGGCGTACAAAAATCTGAATTATTTACTAAAATTAGTAAAGATGGAGTCCTGGAAATAAAATGTATTCCTGAAACGTAATAAAAACAGAAGATGAATAGGTGACATTTGAGATTTTACAGTCTGAAAAGAAAACAAAAAAAAACAAAAAAAAATTTGCAAAAAAAAATTCGACAAAAACTCAGTTCTAATAACAGTTAGATAAGACATTCCGTAAAAATTCAAATCAGCAGAGAATTTATGTTCAAAGATTTCAATCAATCTGGATTTTTTTAAGCTCACAATTTTTGATTAAAAAAAATAACAGAAACATTTAAACTTTTTTTTTATAACTTGCACTACGTTAGTATTTAACAGCTCAATAAATTTTGTTTTATTAATATCATTAAATATATTTCACACTATTACATACTTTATTTTTAATGTTTGGTCTTTGGTCTTTGCCTATTGTTTTTTTTATAGTTTCGCATGTCTGCAGCCTGTAGTATTAAGGCGAGTTTCCACTCATCCGTTTTTCTACGGGAACGGGATAGGAAAGGAAAAAATAATCACGTGAGCATGCGTAATAAAGGTTTTTATTTATCCGAAAGAAAACTGCGCATGCTCACGTGATTATTTTTTCGTTCCCTTTTCCTTTCCCGTTGAAAAACGGATGAGTTGAAACTCACCTTTATATAATAATAATCTGCAGTGTGCATTATTATTTAATAATGATCTGCGCTCTGCAGTATTACATAATAATAATCTGCGTTCTACAGTTTTACATAATAATAATCTGCGTTCTGCAGTATTACATAATGATAATCTGCGTTCTGAAGTATTACATAATAATAATCTGCGTTCTGCAGTATTACATAATAGTAATCTGCGTTCTGCAGCATTACATAATAATAATCTGCGTTCTGCAGTATTACATAATAATAATCTGCGTTCTGCAGTATTACATAATAATAATCTGCGTTCTGCAGTATTACATAATAATAATCTGCGTTCTGAAGTATTACATAATCATAATCTGCGTTCTGCAGTATTACATAATAATAATCTGCGGTCTGAAGTATTATATAATAATAATCTGCGGTCTGCAGTATTACATAATAATAATCTGCGGTCTGCAACATTATATAATAATAATCTGCGTTCTGCAGCATTACATAATAATAATCTGCGTTCTGAAGTATTACACAATAATAATCTGCGTTCTGCAGTATTACATAATAATAATCTGCGTTCTGCAGTATTACATAATAATAATCTGCGTTCTGAAGTATTACATAATAATAATCTGCGTTCTGCAGTATTACATAATAATAATCTGCGTTCTGCAGTATTACATAATAATAATCTGCGTTCTGAAGTATTACATAATAATAATCTGCGTTCTGCAGTATTACATAATAATAATCTGCGTTCTGCAGTATTACATAATAATAATCTGCGTTCTGCAGTATTACATAATAATAATCTGCGTTCTGAAGTATTACATAATAATAATCTGCGTTCTGAAGTATTACATAATAATAATCTGCGTTCTGCAGTATTACATAATAATAATCTGCGTTCTGCAGTATTACATAATAACAATCTGCGTTCTGCAGTATTACATAATAATAATCTGCGTTCTGCAGTATTACATAATAATAATCTGCGTTCTGCAGTATTACATAATAATAATCTGCAGCCTGCAGCATTATACAATAATAATCTGCAGTCTGCAGTATTATGTAACAATAATCTGCAGTATGCAATATTATATAATAATTTGCAGTCTGCAGTATTAAATCATAAAAGCTGTTTTAAGTTTACGGCAAATTTGAATAAAGTTTGCACGAGTTGCTAATTTATCCCGCAATCATTGTGGCAACTGACTACAACAGTATTTTGATAATAAAATTGCCTGCAAGTTCCTAAAAACGTAAAATGTTAAAACACAAAATTAGAATAGTTAAAGTATGGTCAGCCATATTTAACATCAGGGATTAAAAAAAAAAACACTTTTTTAACCTAAAAGAATAAATATCAACAACGTCTATTATTACTCTTTCAAAAAAAAATCTCGGAAGAGCTCAAAATTTTTTTTGCTAAATACTCGTCTAATTTTTGAAATCAAAATAATACTTAAAATAATCCAAAACAATCATAATTTTTTCTAGAGTTGATAACCGAAAGAATTTCGCACAATTCCGGAAATTAAAATTCTTTCGGAAGGATATTGAGAATCAAGAACTTTTTTTTCGCATCAAAACAAAAACCCGTCAATGAACATTTTGCAAATGCTACTTACAAAATGTCTTTCGCAAGTTGAATTTTGAAATAAAACTATTTTGCTACATACGAAAGTAGCGCTAACGGAAGTCACACAAACGAGCTCTTTCACTAAACGACGTTTTGAAGCGTATAAAGAAAGTTTGTTGCCAAAACGGATATAATTGTAAAAAATAAAATCTTTTTGTATCAAAATGTTTATAATAAAATTTTATTTTCAGTACTGTAACATAGTAACATTTTAAGATTTTATTTTTTGAAATAATGATAAAAAAACAAATTTTTTTCGAAACGAAACTATTTCGCATTGCAACTTGCAAAACAGTACTTAACGGAAAAAAAACTTTCGAAATCTAATTACGTTTTATGAATTAAATACATATTTTAACTAACTTTTTAAATTAACTATTATAATTAAATTAACTAAGTAACTAAAATACTAATTATTATATAATATTGATAAGTTTCAGTTGTAAACTTTATAAATTGTCATTTAATAAGTAAGAATTAAATGATGAATATAACTTGAACTATGTTAACATACGATTGCAATTGCGTAATCGGGAAACAATGCTTTTGATCAATAAAAGACCTAATTTTAGTAATGAATGCTTAAACTTAACAATATATTTGTAACTTTCACTTGTTTTCAAAAAGAATGATTTTATGTTTAGTGAGTTTTTTTTTATTTTTGAAGTGCTTTGTTATATGTGCTTTTGCTTTTATTACCTTAATAACAACAGGTAAATTAAAAAAAAATTTTAAAGACATCCTTTTCAAAGATTTTTTCAAATTTGTTTTCATTATATAAAAAAAAGTTAGGGTGGGAAAGACATTTGTTCCTCCTTGTATTGTTGACCCTGGAAAATGTTCGAAAATGCAACATCCCAACTACGTTGGGATGTTGCATTTTCAAACATTTTCCAGTTACTAAACTGCTGAAAGTTTTAAAGCTTTAATTATTTTGGAGGGTAGTGAAAAATTAATTACACAATTTTGTAGCTAAAAAGCGGAAAAGTACAGTGCGACCCTTCCCCGTGTCTTCACCCCTTGCAACAATTTTAACATAGAAGCTCACCAGGACTATACAAGCGCTGAAAGTTTCAGACCTGTAGCTAGTCTGAAAAGTAGTCAAATTGATTGCAAGGTTTAGTAGAAACTGATAATGGCAACACAGCACGTGAATTTAAATTATACTCTCTCTCTCAACAAAAGCACTGAACAAAATTTTTTTTCATTTAACATTGTGTTTCATCAATAAAAGCTCATCAGAAATGAATGATCAAATTAATACCCAGCAAACAATAGACGTCTTTTAGACCGTCTAAAATTGGTCTAATTTGTATCTATTGCCGATACGTATATTTTAGACGCATATTAGAGATCGAAAAGACGTCTCATTCTAGAGATACTATTTTTGCTCTGTTTTAGATGCATATTAAATGCATAAAATAGATCGTGCATAGATAATATTTTTTCATCTAAATTTAGATGTCTATAAGATGTCTTTTATAGATTTATTTAAAAAAAAAGAAAAAAAATTTAACTAATTTTACGGAGCGATAATTATAAATGACCGCCATTTAAAAACCATGCGGAAACTTATTTCAAAAAAAAACATGAAGATTTTAACCTATAGAAGACATTAATGATTATTTCTTTTGATAAATTTTAAATAATAAAATAACATGCTATTATAGTTCACAAAATATTTCGATGATTTGATGCTTAGCATGTTTGCTAAAATCTTTGTGATTTGAAATTTATTTTGCAGAAATATTATAAAATTAAAATTTTCAAGTTGATATTTTTATTTCTAGAATAAAAGATAATGTAATTAAAATATATGTATATATATATATATATATATTATATATATATATATATATATATATATACATATATATATATATACATATATATATATATATATATATATATATATATATATATATATATATATATATATATATATATATATATGAGTGTTTTTCAATAACACAAAAGATTGTTTTATTGGTTGTGGTGCACTTATCGTTTTTATCGAGGAACCAAGATTCATTTATGTCTTTTACAAAAAGGGCATACGAAAAGAGACGCAGTAGACGTGTCCAAAAGGAATATTAAAAAATACTAGAATTTTCATCAGTACATATAGAAAAAAATCGAATGTTGGAACTTCTAAAAGAAATGGTTTCTTATCTTGCGAAAATCTAAAAGAATATTTTGACCATCATGAGTCATTGATTTTGTACAATGAATACTCTTATGACCAAAAGTTTAATGAGTATATGCATAACCCAACTTTAAAGGAAAGTTTTTCTGCATGATTTTCTAACCAAGTAATGTTGCACTATACAAGTGGATTGACAAAGAATAGCAACAAATTTATTGTCCCAAAAAAAACTATAATCATGCACTGAAAAACAACCTTTCATCAACAAAAGAGTGGCACAAGTTTCCATTGATAAAGTGTAAGATAACAGACGGTCAGTATCTAACTTGTTTTGTGTTTTTTTTAAAAGTAACTTAATTACTTTTTTGTAGCAAAATGTTTTATAATAAGATTCATTTTCATGTAATGAAGAATACTTTCTACATCAGATGAGATATATGTTTAAGAAAGCATTAAAAAAAAGAATAACAAATCATACCGCTCTTCATTGCCAGAACTTCCGCCACCTATTATGAATAAGCCCAATGCTAAAAGTATAACACAAATACCATAATTTTTTTTAATGGTTTATAAACTGAAATAAATTCTTGTTTAATTTGAAGATTTTCCTTTTATTTTAACTATTTGGGTGTCCTATTATATGTAATGTTGTTAAATTGGTTACATATATTTACTTCATTGACAACATTCTATTGTATTAAATAATCCTTTAATCAATTTGATATGAAAATTGAAAATTGATTGAAAGCATGCTGAAATTATTTGAATT